TTATTTATTTATTTGACAGAGAGAGAGAGATCACAAGCAGGCAGAGAGGCAGGCAGAGAGAGGGGGAAGCAGGCTCCCTGCTGAGCAGAGAGCCCGATGCGAGCCTCGATCCCAGCACCCTGAGATCATGACCTGAGCTGAAGGCAGAGGCTTTAACCCACTGAGCAACCCAGGCACCCTCAGTCTCTCTCTTGATATTAGCTTTCTTTTCTTTCTTTTTTTTTTTTTTTTAGATTTTATTTATTTATTTGAGAGAGAGAGAGAGAGCACAAGCAGGGTGAGGAGCAGAGGGAGAAGCAGATGCCCTGAAGAGCAAGAAACATGAAGGGCTCAAACCCAGGAGTCTGGGATCCTGACCTGAGCCCAAAGCAGATGCTTAACCAACTGACTGAGCCACCCAGGTACCCCTGATAGTGGCTTTCTGCTAGGATGAGCTTTTGCCATTATTCTTTGAGCCAAGTAGGGGAAGATTGGGGGTCCACGATATTGAGTGTATAAACTTGCATTTAATCTCGTTTTTAAGTATGGCATCCTTGCACCCAATTATCCCCGATGCCTTACACTTATGCCTGTTGTCTTAAAATCCAGATGTCCTTTCTAGAAAATAAATTTCCCAGTTTTTTAAATAAACCTCCAGAGTGTGGGGGGTCAGCCGTCTGCTAGAAGGTGAGGAAAATGAATCTGGGTTATAATTACTTCTCACCAGATTTTTGAGCAGCCCCCTGGTTTTCACCTCTTCTTCATCCACACTTTCAGAGGTGCTTGGTGCCTCCTATAGCCAGGCCTTTTGAGAGTTCTGCTTTCTTAATCCGATTGCTTCTTAGCATTCCCCATGGCTGCCAAGAAGTCAGCTTTTTCACATCTAATGTCTGTTGTCATTTACCCATCTGCCTTCTAGCTTCGAAAATGCTATCCTCTTGTGGCTCATTTATCTTTTTTTTTTTTTTTAATCTTCATTCTGTATTTTAGTAGAGTTTATTGGGGGGAGGGAAAACTAAATTGTGTGTTCGGTCCCTCATTTTGACCAGTGCTCCCTGCCTCCATGTTTTCGCACATGCTCACCCTACCGGAGGTCCTGAACCTCTTCTGTTAATCCTTTGATACCATGCTCGGGTGACATGTACTTCTAATACTGTGGCCCCTGATTCAACAAAGTTACTCCTGCTCCTCTTGCTTCTAGTTCTGTCTGATCTATTTAGTTAGTAGCACATGAGGATTATAATTATTTGATTACATGTAAGTCTCCTTTGCTAGTTATACATAGTAATTCTAATCAGATTTAACAAATTGCTGCATTAGTGAGGTCATTCTTTGATCAGTGTTAAATAATAAGTACTCTAAAAGTCATAGCACAAAGAAACTTCAGCTTGCCTCTGTCTGCTTTCCTAAAAATTTAGTTTTCAATCTCAAAACAAAAATTATTTTGAAACAATTTATTGTGAAACTTGCATTTTTATAGAATATTGTCTTGCCACATTTATTCCCTTGACTGTAGATTTAAATTTAAATCAAAGTTGTACCAGGAAGTAGGACTAGGACATGTGCAAGAATCATGCTCAAATTAACTTTTTGGTAGTGCTAAAAATATCTTTTTTATTTTTATTAACTAATTCTATGGAGAGAAGTTTATGTCCTCATGAGATGTTATGGAATATACATTTAAATAGAAGGCTCTGACATCCAATGTAGACAGAGATTTATTTTCTCTTATTTGAGGTAATGTGTACAAACTTAAAACATATTGGCTTTTAATGCAGAATGATCCAGCGTAACCATATAAAGATGTCACCACATTATAGTTTGGATCTCCTGAAATATTTTACTCTGTTCTTAAATGCCCAGTTCTATTTAAAATCAAAATGATAATACACAGTGATTGCTGATAATACTTTACCTTTGGTTCTTCAGCTGGATAGATCTTGTGGTTCTGGTAGAATTTATTGAGACCCTTAAGATGATAGCATCTCAGGGTTGGAAGAGAGCTTAGAGTCCCCCAAATCCAAACTTCAGGCCAGTTTACTTCAAAAAGCCTGAGATTGAAATAGCTTGAGCTACTATTAGTGAGTAACTACTTATCTAGTGACTGGATGCTTATACCTCTCTAAAATCCTCTTTTCTTCTGTTTAACTGCTCTTGTGAGACTGTTTTGATATAAGTGACAGACCATTCTGATCCTGTTTCTGCATAGATCAGCCATAGTTTTACACAGGCTCTCATTTCATTTTATTTATTACTATTTTTTTGAGTATAGTTTACATATAGTGTTGTGAGTGTCAGGTGTACAACAGAGTGGTTCAATAACCCTATGTTACACTATGATCACCACAAGTGTAGCTACCATCTGTCACCACACAACACTGTTACATTACCATTGACTATTTCTTACACTGTGCCTTTTATCCCTGTGACTTATTCATTCTCTAACTGGAAGCCTGTATCTCCTACTGCCGTTCCCCCATTTTGCCCATCCTTCCTCTCTGGCAACCGTTAGTTTGTTAATTCTCTGTATTTATAGATTAGTTCTGCTTTTTGTTTGTTTATTCATTCTGTTTAAAGTTTTTATTTATTTATTTAACACAGAGAGAGAGAGAGAGAGAGCGAGCGCACAAGCAAGGGGAGCAAGCAGCAGGCAGAGGGAGAGATAGATTCACAGGGAGCCCAACGTGGGGCTCAATCCCAGGACCCTGGAATCATGACCTGAGCTTAAAGCATGCTTAACTGACTGAGCCACCAGGCGCCCCTATTCATTTATTTTTTAGATGCCACACATAAGTATTTGTCTTTCTCTGTCTGACTTTCTTCACTTAGCCTAATGTCTTGTAGGTCCATATATGTCGTAAATGGCAAGATCTCATTATGGCATTGTGTGTGTGTGTGTGTATGTGTATGTATGTACACACAGCATGTCATCTTTATCTGTTCACCTCTCAGTGGACACTTGGGCTGCTTCCATATCTTAGCTATTGTAAATAATGCTGCAGTAAACGGAGGGGTGCATATATCTTTTTGAATTAGTGTTTTCATTTGTTTGCCGATATATCCAATAAGGGGTTAATATCCAAAATATGGAAAGAACTTATACAACTCAACACCAAAAAACAAATAATCTAATTAGAAATAGGCAGAGAACCTGACTATGCATCTTTGCAAAGAAGACATACAGATGGCCAACAGATACATGAAAAGATGTTCAACATCACTCATCATTAGGGAAATGCAAATCAGAGCCACAATGAGATATAACCTTATGTCTGTCAGATTGGCTAAAATAAAAAAGACAAGAAATAACAAGTGTTGGCAAATATGTGAAGAAAAAGGAACCCTTAGGCACTGTTGCTGGGAATACAAATTGGCATGCCATTGGGGAAAACAATATGGAAATTCCCCCCAAACTTAAAAATAGAAATACCATATCATTCAATAATTCCACTGCTAGGTATTTCCCAAAAGAAAACCGGCTTTCATTTTAAATAATGTATAGAAGAGTAGCTTCTACATAATGTATATGACTTGCCACAGTTCATAATTTATTATAATGCTGGCTCAAAATTGCAAGCATTTTATTTTCAAGTTTTACATTGTTTCTAAATTAAAAAAATGCAAGCGACACACAGGTCTTCAGTAATTATCATTTATCATGATCTTATTTATGACTACCACATTCTACAAGAAAGAAACAACGAACCAAAAGATTGAAAGGAACAAACATACCAATGGTAAAATGCTCATTCATCTTCGGCACTTGGCATATATAACACTTCATCATTGTGTTGTTCATCAAACCTATTCTGAATCTATTTTTTTAAAACCAAATACGAGGGTTTAAAGTTTAACTAAGCTTTGCTACCTAGGTGAGGGATCTAGGAACCATTATAGGTTCCTAGTGTTTTTTGAGGAGTAAAATGTAGATGCATCTGGAAAGTACTGCAGGAGGGTACAAAGTTTTATTTCAGACATGAGCCAATAAAGTTGAGCTATATAATTATGTTTAAAAGCAAGAAAACCATTCTTGTTGTCTATGAAAGCTTATATGTTATGTCCAAGTAATAAAAGTAGAACTGGAAGTTTCTATGACCCTGGGCCATGATAAGGAAAAGCTGTCTTCATGTAGGTAAATTTTACACTAATTTTGTCTAGCTCCTTTGAGACCCACCCCTGATTATTATAGGTAGGAAGCCAATTAAAAGATGCATAACACCAGATTTTAATTGCTATTAACTGTCACTTTTTCAGATCAAAGATTAAAAGGTTAAATTCCAGATGTATTGAAAACATCATTATGACCACCACTAATATCAGCAAGCATCTACTGCATGCTCACTTTGTGTAGAGGGATCAGTAATAGGTTTCAGAGTCCCTAGAGTAATTAGGTGGAAGAATATAATAGCATTTAGTACTGTTTTATCTCACACAGTACAACTATTTTACAAATGAGGAAACTGGTATACAAAATAATTTCTCTAGGGGCACCTGGGTGGCCCCAGTTAAGCATCTGGCCTTTGGGCTTAGGTCATGATCCTGGGGTTCTAGAATTGAGTCCTGGTGGTTCGTGGGGCTCTCAGCAGGGAGTCTGCTTCTCCCTCTCCCTCTGCCCCTCCCCCTGGCTTATGCTCTCTCCCTCTCACTCAGTCTCTCTCAAATAAATGAATAAAACCTTAAAAAAAAATTTCTCTAAATTCATCCAGCTAGTAAACGGCTGAGCTGGAATCCACATAAGAATCCAAACCCCGTGCTCTTATTCATTAAATCACCACATTAAGTCACAGAATCTTTTTGGAAAGTGATCAGGAATAGTCCTGAGCTGCTATCCTAAAATACTGATGTCAGTAGCCTGAGAATTTCACCTCACCTCTAAGCATGGGGTCAGCCAACCGCAGGTTCCCTTTTTGTACCAGTTACCCTGTTGTGCGACGAGTTCACGATGTGAATAAAGATTCCAGATGTCGAGTTTGGCAGGATCTGATTCAGGCTTACTCAAGGCTATTTCTTACCTGTTTTAGGAACAGCGTCTGTGGCAGTAGCGGGCATCCTTGCGGCTCTTCGAATAACCAAGAACAAACTGTCTGATCAAACAATACTGTTTCAAGGAGCTGGAGAGGTACCTGCTCATCCAAGACTTACATTTCCTTAAATTAATGAATAGAGTTTATCTTAATTATTCATTAATTAGAAGTTTGAGATATCTTTCGGATTTTTAGTGTTTTGCAACTATAGGTTTGTTTATTTTAAGATTTTATTTATTTATTTGACAGACAGAGATCACAAGTAGGCAGAGAGGCAGGCAGAGAGAGGGGGAAGAAGGCTCCCTGCTGAGCAGAGAGCCAGATGTGGGACTCGATTCCAGGACCCTGGGATCATGACCTGAGCTGAAAGCAGAGGCTTTAACCCACTGAGCTACCCAGATGCCCCCCAGCTATAGGTTTTTTTGAAAGATACCGCAGTTAAGTATTGAGGCATATTCATTTGTCTTAGGAGGCTTTAGTATAGAAGTATAGTGATACTTTCCACAATCTTAAATTTCTAGAGATTATCAAATGGTGGCGTGGTCTTTTCTTTTGCATATTTTGCAGCAACAAAAAGTTTACATTTTGTGATTATGTATAAAAGCCTTTAAGTAGGGGCGCCTGGATGGCTCAGTGGGTTAAGCCTCTGCCTTCAGCTCAGGTCATGATCTCAGGGTCCTGGGATCGAGCCCCGCATTGGGCTCTCTGCTCGGCAGGGAGCCTGCTTCTCCCTCTCTCTCTCTGACTGCCTCTCTGCCTACTTGTGATCTCTGTCTGTCAAATAAATAAATAAAACCTTAAAAGAAAAAAAAAGGCTGGAAGTATTTAAGCTATTATATCTGACACTTTTAGTATCCTCCGGAGGCACCTATTTAGGGTTTTCTTAATTTGACTCACAAGTCAGTGTGCACATATATAACTACATACGAGTTTTTAAGAAAAAAATATATTTGAATTGGAGACTTGTTATGCATTGTTCCCATGCAAAAGAAGCAAAACATTTACAATTGCTGGAAGGAGATGGCAGGGAGGCAAAAGTGGGCTGTTTTTTTGTTCTCTTTTGTTATGAGTTAATCATTTGAAAGAAGAAAACTAGACTCCAGTGATAATTCATCCCCTAAAATAGAAATTAAAATGTCAATTGAGTTTGAGCTTCTTGTGAGAAAGCTGCCCAAATCTGTTTAGAATTATAGAATGTAATGAATGGAGAAATACTTTTGTGGTTATATAAGAAGCTTCAGATTTTTAAATTGAATATGATTAAATGTATTATACTAGTAGAAATTGTGTATATTGTGTTGGTTTTGATTTTACTTGTTCTTAAAATGAAATACACAAAACTAAAACTTAAATGCCAAGATATAAGCATGTCAAAGTATTCAGAATGTAAAGTACAAGCTCATTTTCACATCAAAATAAAAATCAAGGCTAAATTACATCTTATTAAAATTTGAGGGGTTTTTTTGTTTGCTTTTTTGTTTTTTTGTTTTTGAGTTTTTTATTTGTGTGGCTGTTACATGCTGTATTTACTTTTAGTCAACTTATTTGAGTTCAAATTCTTTGAATTTCCAAAGGGTTTTTGATGAATGGTACAGGCCACTTCTTGATACTCAGCAGGGCAGAGGTATTCATGGTTGGATGATTCAAAACAGATGCTTGTTTGTCCCTGAAAAGGTTTTGGATGTTCACAGATTATTACAAAATTTATCAAATACCAAAGAAGTTGATTCCTTTAATCTTGCAAGAGATTTCACAGTACTTTCTTTGTCCAAATTAACAGAATAAATAAATGCTTGGGGACAGAGAATTTATGTGTTTTATTCTGTTGCCTAATTGGTCAAGTTCCCATCCAAATGACCAGGCTTCATTCTTCAAATTCAATTAGAGGAGCTGGAGCCCAACAATAAACAATACAGTCCAATAAGCAAGGCTGACCAGGCCATTCTTTTAAACTCAATATTTTCTCATTGGAGCAAATCTTAATTGCATTAACAGGATTAAAGTAATGACAGTCAAGGATATCACTGGTTTATCTGTAGCTAAAGAACAAACAACATAATAGTGGTTCTGTTGTGATAAGAAGAGTAAATAATTGTTCATTAGCTTACTCCAAAATGTGACAAAAATACTTTGCTCCCAGTATAAATGAAGGAATATAGCTGTTTAAGTCAGTGAAGCCATTTTGTTTTTTCTTATTAACAAAGATAAAATGAAGGGAAACATAACTCTTGATAAGTTATAATGTGGAACAACTTTTCAAAGTTTTGTTTTCATAATGTCCTTCTCAGGCTGCCTTAGGGATTGCACACCTGATTGTAATGGCCATGCAAAAAGAAGGTTTACCAAAAGAGAAAGCCGTGAAGAAGATATGGTTGGTTGACTCAAAAGGATTAATAGTTAAGGTAAGAATTTGACATTTCCAACTGAAGAAAAATTAATGTGCTATTCTGGGTGCCCATCTCAAAGATCACTACTACTTCCACTCATCTTAACCCCAACTGTGTTAAAAGACTAGCCATTATACATGAATGACCATGTCATACAATGATATTGATACTCTTCTGAAAAAGAAGACTGGCTCGGCTACAGAAGCAGCCTGTGAAGTACAGGGGCCCCTCACAATTCTGTAGGTTGTCAGTGCATTTGAATTAGTTTCCAGATGAGGCAGTTTGATGCTGAAACACCTAGGTTAGCTCCTTTTATTAAGGGCTATCTGTCGAATTGCACATTAGCTAGGAAAAAAAAGAACAGCTGATGAAATAGCTACTCTTTTGCCTGCTACTTTCTCTGGAATAAATTCTTGAGGGTTTGAATGGGAATTCTGAGAACCATTTTAATAAATGGGCTGTTCAGTGTTAACTACAAGGTTGTTTCCCAGTTCTAATAAAGATAACAGGACCTACTTCCTAGGTTATTGTGAGAACCAAGTAAGACTAGGTAGGTTGACCATATTGCTACATAGTTATATGGAATTCATATTACTTATACATTAATATTACTTCTAGTTATAAGGCATTAATATTACTGCACATTAAGTGCTCTTCCCTAAACTGCCAGAAAAAAAACTCGTGAATTCCCTTGCTACCTGAAGGTGAATTTGTAAAATAACCAGTGATCAGCATAGACTTCTGGAATTTAGTATAGAAGCAAATGTGAAAGTATACAAACTTTCTGGAAAACTGGCTTTTGTGTATCCAAAACCTTTAAAAGTTTATGTTTCTGAGCCAATAGTTTCCATTGTAAGAATATATTTTATAGAGATAGAGAAATACACAATGTTTTATGTTTTAGTTCTTTTCATTTTTTGAAGTTTTCATTTAAACTCTAGTTAGTTAACACTCAATGTAATAGTAGTTTTGTATGTACAATGTAGTGATTCAACACTTACATACACCTGTTACTCATCATAAGTACACTCCTGAATCCCCATTATCCATATCACCCATCCCTCACCAACCTCCCCTGCAGTAACCATCACTTTGTTCTCTGTAGTTAAGAGTCTCTTTCTTGCTTTGCTTCTCTGTCTCTCTTTTTTTCTCCTTAAATTTCTCTCTTTTTGTTTCTTAAATTCCACACACGAGTGAAATCATGTGGTATTTGTCTTTCTCCAGCTTACTTATTTCACTTAGCATAATAACTGTTTAGCTCCATCCATGTTGCTGCAAATGGTAAGATTTCATCCTTTCTAATGGCTGAGTAATATTCCATTACATATACATATACATACTTTTTTTAAAAGAACTATGACATTAAAGACTTACCAATATAATGTTAGATGAAAGAAGGAAAACGCCATGTTATATGTTATTATTTTATATTTTAAAAAATGAGTTGTGGGGTCTATTGCCTGGCTCAGGTGGTTAAGCAGCTGTCTCTCGATTTCAGCTTAGGTCAAATCTCAGGGATTGAGCCCCATGTCAGTCTCCATGCTCAGTGGGGAGTCTGCTTCAGATTCTGTCTCTCCCTCTTCCTTTGCTCCTTCCCTACCTCTGCTTGCATGCATGTACACTCACTCTCTCTCTCTCTCTCTAATAAATAATAAATCTAAAAAACATTGAGTTGCATATAAAATTATGAAAGTAAATGTATATAATATGTATTAGCTTAAAACATATTATTTTTAATGCCTTTCTGTATATTCCAAATTCTCCTAAGCAATTATGTTCTTTTACAGCTAGAAAAAAAGTTTTAAACTAATATAGACAAATTTTGCCTTAATAGTGTATGTATAACTTTTTGTGGCAAGTGAGTATAAGAAAGTAAGATAAGACAGGAAGTACTTTTACAATATCTCCTGAGAATCAAATAATAATCATTTTATTAATTTTATTAACTTGAAATGTAATTTTTTATAATATAAGAAAAACATAAAGTTTAAAATTTTTTGGCTTAAAAACTGCTATAGCTTTGAAGAATCAGCATAAATAGAAAAAGATATACATTTTGGGCACACAACTTATATCATGATCATGAAATGAGATTTGCTGAATGAAATTTCCTCTTGGTTAGGCATCGTACTAGACTCCAGGACTCAGTAAATCCCTTGATCTCAGGAGGCTCACAGACTAGTGGGAAAAAATCAAGCTGAAAGTTATGTCTCTATATGAAAGTGTTATAGAAATACGTTCTTGCTACCAGGGGTGCCCTGGAAATGAAGTTCCCAGCTGCACTGATGAGAAGAATGGGCCTGCGGAGGAGGGTTCCTAGAAAAGGTGTTTCTTCACCTCAGTTTGAAAGGAAGAGTTAGGAGTTCTTGAGTCTCCACAGATGTCTTAAATGTCTCCTATCTGAAAGTGAGACAAGGGAAGTATTATGGAAATTTCACTAGGAGATCTTGGCTGAACCTGTGATCATGTCTTTCATCTCTCTGTGTCTTCAAAGCCTTGCATAGTGTCTAGCACATAATTGGCAATAAATATTTTGTTAATAAATGAATTGATTGATGAGTGGCCTTCCAGGCAGAGGAAGAGTATTTGCTAAAGAGGATATTTCACTATAAATGACATTTAGGGCTTATATTTGAAAGGAAGCAGATGACTGACCAGTGACAAAGGCTCTTCTAAATCCTGACAATGGACAATTGAAGAAACTTATGCAGAGAGGGTTAGTGACTTGTCACTCTAGGCATTGTGGAGGATGGATTGAAATGAGGGAAAACAGAGTAAAGGAAACTAGTTACAAAGCTGTTGTAGTAATAAAAATTCATTGGTGCCTGAAATAAAGCAGTAATTATGGGGGGTGAGTGAAAGACATTTTATTCAGTAGATGTTTAGTAAACAGGACTGGCATACTTAGTAACCACTAAATATGGAGGGAGGAATAGGGTAGGGTGGTATAGGCAGGAACCTAGCAGGACTCCTTGGGTGTCTGGATAAACAATGTGGCCACTACTGTAGAAAAGGAATAACGAAGAGATCATGTTTAAGAGAAAGATAATGTAATTCGGCTTGGACATAGCAAGTTAAAGTTACCTTTGCAGATCTCATGGAGATGTCCCCTTAGCAATCAGAGGTATAAGACAGACACTCAGGATAAGGGTCTCGGCTTCTGCAGATAGAGATTTTGGGAATATCTGCACGTAAAAAGTTGGAGCCATGGAAAAAAAGATATACAAATTACATTATATTTAGGGATGTAATACATGTAAATATCTAAAAAAAAAAGTGGAAGTCTGTGACTGTGGATTTCTTTTGTGATTTCTAATGACATTTTTATGTGAAGTCTTTATAGAAAATATACAGATTTTAGCATCTCAAATAATTTTAGTATAGATTTACTGAAGTGAGACTCCAAATTCTGTGGATTACAATACTTAGAATAACTGTGAAGTTTGTTGCCTAGACCTAATCAGTCACTCTTACCTCATGCCTTTTACTTGCCAAAATAAAGAACTGCATGTATTCTGCTTGCCAAGATAAAGTTACATTTTAAGAGATTGTTATACATTTAACAGCTTATGCGCTATTTAATATAAAAGAAGCATGAAGCTTCAATTAACCACTTTTTCTTTCAAGTTTTTAAAAAGTCAAAATTATTATGTTGATTTTTGTTACAGAACTGGTAAGTCTGAGGATAACTTGTAAATTAGTGTAATCTTGCTTTCAGATATACATGATTTTTTGTTTGTTGTCCTTTATACTTAGTACTTTCACGACCTCTCCTGAAAACCAATAAGAATCATTTTATTCATTTTATTTACCTGTCATGTAATTGTTTATAATACATAACATATAGTAAACTCCTTCACTTTTTAAAGACATAAAACCAGAAACTAAAAAGTATACTGTGTGGTTGCCTCATTTATGGAGTTCTATCATCATCAGACCAGGTGATAATTATTCTGGCAGTGAAATGGCATTGGCAGTCTGCAAGGAGGGCCCTGTCTACAGATGCATAGAGGGGCCCAGTTAAACTCTGATAAACTGATCACCTGACAGCAGAACTGGCCAGTGCAATGGGGCAAAATATCCAAACAGGCATGGATTCTAAGAGAAAGCAAACGAAAACCCTTGTGGAAGAAGTCTTCTAGTGCCTGCGTGTAGGAAGGTATAAATATTTATCAGTAACAATCCATAGTTAATTTTTTCTATCTATCCTGGGCCATGAAATGCTAACCCCAAATCCTTTCCACCCACAGCAGGACATCTGTGCTTTTGAAAAAGGTAGTAATTCAGTATGGTTAGCTATATCTTCTCTCCTCTCCTAAGAATCAGCACAAAATAAGGGGTAGGGGAGATTGAAGAAATAATAACACTCAAAAAAAAAAAAAAATCTCAGCTATCCATAATACATTTGGTATAATTAAAGACTCTTTAAAAACACACACACAGGATTTGGGATTTCTATAATAAGAAATGCCCATGTTCACTTTGCCAAAAGAAGGCAAAAAGTGTTTCAGTAAGGGATCCTGGAAGTGGGATGAATAGACAAGAAATCTTCTATGTCCATATCCAACAGACAGGAGTAGCATAAAGAATATGAACTCCAAATCAGATTTTGAAAGGAGGAGGAAAATGAGCCATTGGTGTGGAAAATAGAAGTCTGAAGGTGTAGGCAGTTGCCTTAATACTGCCAGACCTAGACGTCCCATTCCAGTATTTTCTTCATCTAAACCAGCTCTTCAAATAGACTTTGAAAATGGTACAGCAGTTACTTGAGAGACCTTGCTTTTTGTCTTTTGATTCTTCTGTTTTTGGCAAGTAGAGGCTTTCAGTAGTGCTTGTATTCCATTTCATGATTCCTGGCCTTCCTAAGCCACCAGAAAGAATCAAGCCTTTGGGGAAGAGACTGTGGGTAATCTGTGTTTCTTACTGGGTAGATGTCTTCTGGTCAACATCTGGCTTCGGCTGGCTGGGAGCTGTCTGTGCTGTTGCTGTGATTCAGAAAGCAAAGTGTTCTTGCT